GCCTTTTGAAGAGCCATGCCTCATCAAAGACCGGAGATGAAGAAATTCCATTTTTGTTTCAGCCATTTTAGTAAGGGAGCAAATGGCAAAAAATGCCTTTCGTTTTCTGGGTTCAGCCTCGTTTCCATGTTGGAGGATCGGGAGCCTCGTTCTCGGTTCATTACAAATAAAGCCGAGTGGCTCTGGGAACGAGAATGCGAGAGCCTAGAATGAACCTTCCTAACAGTCAAAATCCTTCGACTTCAAGGTGGTAACAGCATAATTCTCAATCTGGGTGGTAAAACGAAAATTTTAAGCTATGTTTATGTTTATTATATTTAGCTATGCCCTCTTTTGCCGCAGAAAACATAAAAAAATCTAACCGCTCGCGCTTTGCGCTCGTGAAAATGCTTGAGCTCGACTTGTAGGCAAGTCTTTACAGGTTAAGATTCTTATAATAACAGCGTCAGTTTTACAATTTTTTAAATTTACATTAAGTACTACGCTGCGCAGGTTTTTCAAGCTTTATCTCTACAAGTCGAGTTCTGCCCCAGCATCCCCCGCATGTGTGGCTCACGGGTAACCTCGTTTTGAGGTTGATTTCCGGTTTACGGGACTCCAATATGGCTGCCACGACAAGATTTTTGGATTTCTTGGAAATGTAGAATCCATGAAAAGGTGTTTCTTGTTTCTTTCGGCGTAAATCGTCGTAGATAAACTTAAGAAGGCATTCTTCTTACGAAGATCTATTGAATTTAAATTATGTTAACCGATTATTGTATAACTGTTATTGTATTTTAACGATGTGACCTAAAAATTTACTTATAATTTTGTTGTGATCACACGTGGCCGATTTGAACATCAGCTTATTTCTATCACTGAGAAGGTAAGTATGGTGCAAGTTTTATCAAGCAGCGCTGATTTCCTAACAGAATTTTGAACCCTCTTCAAGCCCTAGGATTTCAAAACATTTTTTCGGTTCCGCGCCCATAGATCATGGGAAACCAAAAGCTAACAATTTTTTGGTTCTGTGAAAATTCATAGGAACCCATCCCCTGAATGTTTTTCTTAGTGCTGGAAGCCATAAACCAGTGATGTATAAAGCTTTTTGCTTTCATTACCGTGAAATCCTGGGGCCTTCTCTTCAAAACCATCCTCGGAGACCCAGGGGCAGATAGTGGGGACGAGGAAAAACACAAGTTTTCTGGCACCAATCAGAAGCCAGAACGACGGCGACCGTTTGGAACTAGCCTGGTAAGACATTGTCCCAAGGGGCTCTTCTCGCCGTTCTTTACTTTTCTTCGTGCCACATTTTTCCGCCCGTTTAGACTTTCCCTCATCCCCACTATCTGCCCCTGGGTCTCCGAGGATGCTTCAAAACTAGCTTAGAAAAAAATACTTGTACAAGCAATCAGTACTAGTGGCCACCCTTAACCCCCCCCCCCCCCCCCCCCCCCCCCCCCCCCCCCCCCCACACCCTTTGTTTCCACACCACATAAAAAAGAAGGAAAAGAAGAGGGGTTTTTTTTTTTTTTTTTACACACACCAAAGATAAACACCCCACTCACCAACAAACAAAAAAAAAAAAACACAAAAAA